TGCTCTTTTGCAGGAGACAGACATGTAGAAAGGTAAGCTAACAAAACAAGGAGAAAAGGAGGTCTGTCTTTTCCTTTAGCATCCTTATGTATCCGTACTTTGAGATGCTTCTTGACCATGCATGTTTATCATGAATCAGGCAATTGAAAAACATGCTATGGTTTTTTTCTGTTTTATCCTTCCATTTTCTGCGGGGTCATGGAGAAGATGACAGACCAGTCTTGTGACTTCCAGTATTTTGTGATGCTCTGTTGGCATTCTTGCTGCATACAAAGGCTACAGAAGAGAGAAAGCAACATTACAATTTTATGCCCTTTTGTTGATGAAGCTTTTCCTCAGAGATCTGGCTTATCCTTTATTCTTAAAACTCATTTTGCTTTACAGAGGAAAAAAAGAAAAGAGATGAAGATGACTGATTTAGTTCCTCCTGTAACTGGAAAGATGAAATGGATTTTGGTGTGAAGTGGGGTTTTATTTCCTGAGTTTATTCATTCAGTTGCTCTTGTTGTCACAGTAGACCACTGTGGTAATTCAGTAAAATATTACTTTGAGTAAATTAGTAAAACCCAGCTTAATTTAAATGTACAAAAATAGCTAAAGAAAGCAAGTTCTGTGCAGTAGTGTAACATCAACTCAGCTCGGAAGGGAAGTCTTGTGCTAATTCTAACCACCATTAATGTAATCCTGCTGCACCAGAGAGCAGAATCTGGAAAGTGTGACCCATTTTCTTAATAATAGTGCTGAATTACAAGAACTTTTTCATCAATTATGTTTTTTTCTCTTGAAGTAGGTTGTCTAGGATCATGTATCTCCAGGTACCTTTGGGAATCCCGTATTTTTCCTATTACTGCAGAAATAGATTGAAGGAATACTTTAAGTCTTAAATCCATTCCTTCCTCACCCTGGCAATATCAGGATGTGGAAATCTTGTGGCTGCATTTGGTATTCACATGCGAGCAGCGTAGGTTTTAAAAACACGTGGCAATTGATGTTTTTCATATATGGTGTGTTTAGGTAGAATGTACATTCACCATATCTGCTGGAAGTTACATAATTCTACTGTGTTTTTGTAAATAGAGTGGTGAGCATATCTAATTCTGCCTCTAAATTACCCTCTTTCCCATTCTGGACATGTACTGTTCTGAAACAATTATCTTAAAATTAAATAATAAACTTAAATAGGACGTGATAGCAAGATTTAAGACTTCCTGAAAGTTGTAAACAAAAAAACGAATGGCAGGAAAAAATAAAAAATATTAGCAAGATAAAAAGAAGCATCTCTAGTTTGATGGAGAAGCTTTCGGGGTCTTGCAGCAGAATTAATTTCTATTATTTCCTTCAAACCCATTTAAGGACAATTTGTACATTAGGAAACTGGGACTGAATAGTTTGGCTATGGAAAGCTATGCTAAATCTGTGAAACCTATTACTTGAAGGAAGATTTTTTTCAAATGATCACAGAGACATTACACTAAATTGGAGTGATGGTATAGGCAAAGTGGTTGTTGGTGGTGGTGGGTTTTTTTAATTTTTTTTTTTTTTAAATTAGGGATGTGTAAAGATGTGTGAGTGTGTGTTTGTGTATGGGTGTCTGGGTAACGGTGTGGTATGCCGTTTAACATTTTTGTGACTTGCGGTTTAGACCCATCAGGTTTTGTAATCCCTCAATAACCTCCTTAGAAATGCTTATAGAAGAGTTGTTACCACTTGAAGGTAGTATTTACTTCCTCCTAGAGGACTGAATCTTAGTCTCAAATATAATAGTAATCTAGCAGTAATTGCTGTTAGTTGAACTCTAATATTATTACACTTTTGCCATTGGAAATGATTGACCTGTGTGTCGTGACAATTTTGTGTAACTGCACTTAGTGGTACTTAAGACCTTTGTGAAGTGTTTTAACATCTATAGGTTAAAATTCTATGTTACATAATATGAAAATGTAAACATCAGTATTTGTTTTTAGAGATATTAATTCGGAAAGATTTTTATTATATTAAATGTGGAGTTACCAATTCTTTTAACAGTTTTCGTGTAAATTACTCTGCTTAGAATTACTATGAACAAAATTAGGATGAATGCCCAAAACCTAACCTGCTTCACAGAGGAGGAAAATAGTGGAGACTTTAACAGCTGAAGTTACCAGGACTGACTCATTTTACTTCATCTGCCTCTTTGTCCTTTTGGTAGAAAGGGAGCGGCTTATGAATGCTTCCTCTTTCTTTTCTTCTCCGTGTTTTTCTATTTTCTCCTTTGTTTTGAGAACCTGGTTTGTTCTGTAGAGGTTGATTGCCAGAAGTGTTTGATGAAGAAATTGTTTCAGTGGGTGGAAGTGTTACAATTCATACAGGGTTTTGACAGGGAAGGGGTGAATAATGCTGAAAGTGGTAATTCAAGCCGTAACATGGAATTAGATATTCTATCAAAGTAACAGCAGTGTTTATGTATTTATGTTGCTTTTATTTGTTAGGCAACAGATTAACAGTGATAGGCAGGCAACCTAAAGTTTGTGTATGGGAAATAAAAAAGCTGGACAGAAAGTAGAAAAATGATCACACCCTTTTATTTCCCCATACTTTGACTTGCCATAACAGAAAGGGTCTGTGTTAGCGTTGGGCTCTTGAGATCTATTTACTTCTAAACAATATCTACACTGTGCTGCTGTAGTTGCACTGTCCCATAGCTTTCCTTTCCCTAAACAACACATACGTTCCATCTCATAGGAGGGCATCTCATGTCTCATGCGGGGAAACTGTGTTTTACATAGTTAATTTTCTAACTCAGCTAGCTTTTTAAGCTACTCACTGGGTGGGTTAGTTATCAGAGAGTAAGGTAACTTTTTACTCTTCTGCCTGACATCAGAAAACGCTTTTGTTGCTATCAAAACGTTTTGTTTATAAAAAGAGGATCGGAAACTTCTGGGTAGAATAGTAGGATACTAGGGTAACTACTAGAACTATGTAACAAAGTACTCTTATGGAGATGTCAATTCTGCATTTAAGTAGTACATTTAAACTCCCCTGTATTCTCCTTTGGCGTGACTCACACGTCTCTAATATGGCAAGAGAATCTGCTGGGGTGATGAATCGTTTTATTGTGTTTCTCTTGCTGTGTTATTAAACCAGCTTTTTTTTCCCAAGGACTATAGCAATAATATGACCTTTAAATGTAAGTTTCAGAAACCTTTTTTATTATCTATATAGAAATTTTGACACAATCCTTGATAAATGTTGCTTTAATTCTGGTTGCAGCCCTGTAGTGGTTGCTTAGTGTTTGCCTTTCATGTCTGGTGCAGCTTAAAAGAAAATGAGACAGCAAGAAAGCTCAAGGCTCTGATTGCAGTGTACAGCTGAAGATCTTAATTATTCAGCTATTTCCAAGGCTTTCTCTGAGCCTTAATGTAAAGAGCCCACAAAACCAAAACCTGGTAGAGGTAGACATTTGTTATTCCACTGTCTATATATATAAAAGTATTACAACTAGTGTTGAATGATGCATTTTTAATGAAATAAATTTCCAACTTTAACATTATGTTAAGTAATGAGCAGTAGCATCTTTTTCCTGGACTGGGGTGGGGAGTAAAAAGGGGTAAAGCTTGTATGTGTGTAGAGGATAAATTTATCAAAAAATAACAAGAACACACCTTTCAGTATGCTTTCACCTAATCTTAGATGGAAAGAGGTTTGTGTCCTCATCTCAAATGCAGTCTAGATATGAGAGTTGAATCCTCAGTTTTCTTGCTTGACCAAGTTTTCATGTGTTGTCTTCGGTTTGTGTGTGTGTATGTTTGCACATGCATGTATCTTTACACAGCTGCATACATTCATGTATTTGTTACTGAAATATGTATATAGTGCTTCCAGGACAAATTAGAAATAGTTCTGCAGTATTTCTTTGGTAGTGCTGACTCAAAATTTTAAGTATTTAGGAGGGTGATGTATTTATTAGGGTTTATATCCTATTAGCAACTCCCAAATTCAGATGTTACTTTTTAAGAATCTCCTTAATTTATAGTACAAAAGGAAACTAGAGACAGTTTCTAATAATCTTGCTTTTCTTTTTTAGTAGTAACTTGTTATGTTTGCTGTAACATTGAGAACTTTTTACCAAGCTCTCTGAAAGGCAAATTCCTTCCCTCCTTTCCATTCTCACAGCTACAATCAGAGTTTAAATCTGTCAAGTTAGATAACTGATCATCATTTAAAAAGCATGTTCCGTGTGCTCTAAGATTGTACCTGAAAAACCAAAATTAAAGCTTTCTTTCACATGAGCTTAATTAAATATAAAATTTAATGGGACTTCTTCATCCATTTAATCTAAATAATACTGATTGAGGTAAGAACAGTATGAAATAAGGGCCCGTATGTACATTTATTAATTCACTTTCTTTCATAATTTAATATTCATCACTATTTTATCTTTGTTTGAACACACTGTATCATCACTCATTCATAATTTACTCAGTACTCTATTTATTTTAATTCATTCACCATTTACTTTAAGGTCTTCCGCAATAAATCAGCATTACTGTATCCTTCCTGCACCATCACTAAGTTTGTTCACATTAATATAGGTTTTGGTAAAATGTCCATCTTTGAATATTTTGGGGGCTTACTGTGTTTTCTGTGTTGTCCACGTGTCCTAGGTTCAGTTGCGAATGAGTGGTTCAGCTGGTAGAATGGGTTGTAGGTGTGCTGTTCAACAGTGTCTTTTAGCATGAAAGGTAAATAATATGCTGATCCATGTTGAGATCTATATATTTTCCATAAGAAAATGAAGGTTTTTTCTGTTCTTCCTCATTTCTGGAACTCCCTATAACTGTGGTCTCTTTTTTCCATCTTCACAACCTTCTTCATGGTACTTGATTTTTCAAATTACAGGCACATGTTTATGACAGGACCAATATGAAACATTACTCCTCTTGATCATATGCACGATATATGAGCCATCTGCAAACACAGAAATTGAAGTAAATTTTACTGTTTTGTTTGTTTTGAATTAGGCTCATGCACAGCTAGTTCGAGAAGTCGATGTAGAGAAAGTGTCAACTTTTGAGAACCCATACGTAGATGCAATAAGAAGCTTATGGAATGACCCTGGAATTCAGGAGTGTTACGATAGACGACGGGAATATCAGTTATCAGATTCAACTAAATAGTAAGTACATGGTGGCTACAAAAAACTGTATGTCATTTTCTGTGTCTAATAAACTAATTTTTACTTTTTAGCTTCTTATACTGTAAGTTTGTGTATGTGTTTGTATGCATATTCAACACAAACAAACCTGAATATAGATTTAATAGATTGAATTCAGAGGATACTTTAAGGAATGGAATACATCTAGTTTAGGGTTATATCTGTTTGTTTCACAGAATGACAGTCTGTGGTCATTAGAAGTCTTAAAGATTCTGACTAGGGACAGTTCATCACTGATGTTTTTGTTTTCTTCTGTTATACTTGTTCAAGCCCTTAGTATCCTCTGACATACACTCACAAATGCAAGCTGACAAAAATACTTTCATGTAGTATGACAGGAGTGAATGCTGGGAAGTGCAGTCAAGGTACACCTCCATACAGTTCATAAAAATTATAATGTCCCAGAATTCCTCTTTTCTTAGGTTTTCCCCTTTTCCCTCACAGATTGCTTTCGCAGTCCTGGTGGTGAGGTAAATAGTACTAGGCAACAGCACTTGTCTTTTGTTGAACAGCCTTTCCTTTATGGAAACAAAGCCTAAACTCTTAAGAACATGGCTGCCAGGAAGACAACAGGAAAAGCACTTTAAGTTAAACACAGTTCATTACAGATCAACAATAATTAAAATACTTGTGTAACTAACCTGTGTCTGAGATGTTCTGCCTTTAGTTTATTGGGGTGGGAATCTGATAAAATAGCACTGTGAAATTTAACGTTGGAATCTGAGGACTGCCTGAAGATTGACTCTGTGAAATTCAGTTAGTCTTGCGTAACGTAGCAGACAGCTGAGGTAAAATCTCTCATCTGTTTTCGAAGAAATAGGTGATGGCAAAGAATGATGACCTTTTGGTGTTGACCATTAAAAAATACAGCGTAGTTATTTATTAAAAGCTGTGGCAAGAACCTCTGTGATCTCCACATGGTATTCTGTACTAGCTATGATAGCTATTCTGATGATACCATTCCAGTCCCCGTTTGTCAGGTGTACATGAATGGGAGCCTTTTACTGAAGAAAGCACAGAACAACAGAAGGGCACCATGAAGCTCGTTGGAACAGGGCTATAGACATGAGAGGTCTGGGATGGCACTTACCTGCACAGTAGCCTAAGGATTCTTATGTAGCACAACACCTTATTTTAGTCAAGAACAACTTCTTAGTGTCTTGCTGGTGCAATTTAAGTAGCTGAATTGCTGCAGGTTCATGACGTAGGTGTCCTTAGTTTTGCTCGGATGCTGTCACCATACCATGTTCTCCTGCTATATTTGCCCCATGCATAGGGTTCCTGTTGTCCTAGGCAGTTTGTTATCCTGTGGAGATGGTTGCCTTCCCAACCTGTCACTTTTATTGTTTGTGTATGCACATTTTGGTGCGGAGTGACTCAAAGCACTGTGACATCTCTCTTGTATTGTTTGGATTCTCACTATTCCTAAAGATACCATTCTGTGTTTTGGCTTTTAGTGGTAAGCAAACAAACAGAATATTACATAAAGTGAAAAATGTCAGGGTTCATAAATGGTGAAAAGAAAATTTCAGAGACTTGTTACTGACGATGTAGTTTCATACTGTTACTACACTTCAATGAGAAGCAAACGCAAGTAGAAGGTGAAGTAGAGCTTGTCTTTACACTTTGAATTTCTTGTATTTGTAGGTCCTATCTTTGTTTCCACATCGTATGTGATACTGTTTTTAAAGTTGAAATAAATGTATGTATTGTGTGCTTGCTTTAGATGATAAAAGTAGAAATATGTACTCTCCAAAGTAGGAAGTAATCATCTGATGCTACTTCAGATCAGATTGTGCTGAACACCATAGTTCTGACCTAGTTCTAATGAAATTGTCACCATAGTGAATCTTTTAAGTAGTGCTAAAAATAGTAGGGAATAATTCATTAAGTAGCTATAGAAGGAAATTGCTAGTACATTGCCTTGAAAAAACGTAAATGTACTGGTTGATTGGTTATTTTTGAAGCTTAACATGTTTAGCAATTTAACATGAGTTTTTGCAGATTTGATGGTTTTGACTATAATCTGTTTTAGTTCATACTATGGATTTCTGCAATGAGAGTCTTTAGAACAGCCTCTCATGTACTTATGCTTGCAAGTAGAGTTTTTTTAGGTATGTAAATCCAGTAAAAGTAATTAGCAGAAATTGAAGAAACTTTGTTTCAAAAATACAGTGGGTGTATTTAGCCAAAGAGAATTTTCTAGCTTTAAATCCCTGTCACAAAGCAAGAAACCAGAATATTTAAAATCTGCTGCTGGGATTCACAAGACAGTAAGTCAGAAACAAGCACCCAGTGCCCACTGCCTTGATGAGTCCTAGTGATTTCTTCTGACATGATGTGTAAACCAAAACAGTTTGTTGTCCACCAGGTCTCTTGTAAGCATATGTGTCAGTATGTCTTGTAAGCATGTGTGTCAGTATTTTTTAAGCATATCAGTCAATATGTCACATGTGTTCTTCACTCATCCCTTGCATGAATCGCTCATCTTCTTGGTGCTTTTGCCCTGTGTTTTTATAGTAAGTAGTATTTTCAGTCTGTTCCTGTATTGCTTCTTTTTGCCCCTCAGTGTTATTACACATTGTCTTCCTAAATCTCTTCCTCTTTATTTTCTATTTCTTTTATTGTTTCTAAATTCTGCTTTTGGTTTCTAGTATATCCTGTATGTTTCTGTACTTTCACTTTCTGGCATCTTTTTACATTACACTACTAGTACCCTGGAAGAATACATCAGATGTGTGTGAGGTGAGAAGACATGAGGGTAAGGTCTAAGAAAGAAAATCCCCTGCACTGTGGGAGTTGATTTGAACCTCTTAGGGGCTCAGCAAATACATTCCATTCTCTTCCTTTGCCACTGGATGCCCCAAAGGTTGGGTGTTCGTGTTGTTTTTAAAAGCAATTTCTAGGCTTCTCTATGATAAAGTCAAGAGCATGTCAGGTAAATAGAGACTATTAATTTCCCATATACATTATGGAGTGACTTAGCCACTTGCTTGCCACTAGACCACTTCCCTTTAAGATACCATTCACACTGTGAGGCAGATGGGAACCAACACTGCACTGCGGATTGCCTGGAGTAATACCTGTGTTAGATGAGGTCATTTTGTATGTACTGCACAGGGTGCCAAGACCTTAACCCAAGTGCAACCAGGTTACCAGTCAACAGTCTGGTTATTTTCAAAACATGAGGAAAGAGGAGGCAACAATCTTACTGTTGTCAGTAAGAGAGACAGTTGCCACAAGAAACGTTTGACATTTATGTGACAACTTGGCAGAATTTGCGTTGCGACTAGAATATGTGGAGATTCATCACTGTTTTTCCTCAGTATGACACTAAGAGCTTTCCCTTCATGAATCAAAAATATGGCATGTTTAGAACTGGGAAGTGTCCGAGACCCTTGCTGAAAAAACATCTTTCTTTCCCTGCCTCCACCCCCCAAAATGCAAAATGTTGCTTTATACGTCCAACCATGGACTTCTTAGTTGCATTACAAGCACTGAGGATATCTGTTTAGTTTCCCTTCCATGGCTGTGTTTTATGACACTTCAGATAATTAAATACAGCTTTTCATCAGGTTCCTACCCCAGTCTATTTGCTATGCCAGGAGGCATTTAATATCCCACTTTGTTATTAATGCACTGCTTTATTAGTCATACATGCCATGGCATTCTCATACATCCGTGAGAGTCCTTCAGGCTTTTCTTTCTGCATTTCATAGAATCATAGAATCTTTTAGGTTGGAAGAGACCTTTAAGATCATCAAGTCCAACCATTAACCTAATACTGCTAATACCACCAATAAGCTGTGTCCCTAAGTACCTCATCCACGTCTTAAATACCTCCAGGGTTGGTGACTCAACCGCCTCCCTGGGCAGCGCGATCCAGTGCTGTTTGCTGTCCCGCAGCCGTGCATATACTTGTGATGATGTGAGTTAGCTGGACTGTTAGGACAGAAATGCAGATTCCAGTATTTTAGCAGGTGATAAGAGCTCCAGGTTGTAATGAATATCTTTGATTGTTAACAGAAAAAAAGAAATTAATGCTAATGATGTCTGCCTGTTAAAGTTCATGTTTCACTTTTTATGAAGCCATTGCGTGAATTGTAGTGTGTTGGTCATCTAGTAACTTCTAGTATGACAGTATTCCATCTGAGTTTAAATTTTTTTATAACTTCAGCTGAACAGTTAGTTCCTTCATCCCTGTCCATTAAAAATTGCATTTTGCTTCCGTGCTCCACTTCTGAAACGGGTGCACTTGAGTGGAATTACTGTGCGGAATGGGATGTGCTTAGAGGCACACAAGAGGAAAGGTCAGTGTATGAATCTAAGTTTTTACTACAGCAGTGTACTCCATTGCTGATATTGCCTCTAGCAATCAGAACAGTCATTCTTTTATTTCATAAAGCTGTAGGGAATTCTTAGGGCATTATGGGTTTGTGTGAGCCTGTCAGGAGGACTAATATTGTTCTAATATGGTTCTAAATTCAGACAGACCTGCTATGCAGCTGACAGTGTTACTGTTATGAGCAACAGCCTATCTAATATCTGTGTAAGTCATCTGTTTGGAGTGAGAAACCCATATATTCTCAATTTATAAGGTACATAAACACATCATTATTAAATAAAAATGTTAATACTGTTTATTAGTTCTTTTTTCCCTTCATTTGTAAAAATGTACTTGAAGGGTCCAAAGCTGTATTTGGAGCAATTTGTGTTGCAGAATGAGTGGATTCTTTTATGGATTCACCGTTTGCCTAGCCTTGCTTGTGTAAGGTAAGCAGTAAGCTAAAAGCAGCAAATGGAAGTCTGAAGATTAAGATCAAGTGCTAGCAGTAGAACTATGCTGACCTTATCTTATGACTTAGACATAGTCCCCGCATACAAAAGGAAGGTCTGAAGAAAGATGGGACATGAAATCTGCTGCATACTGAAGCACTGCATCCTATAGAAAACCTGAATGT